GGGGGAAAAAGAATTCATACAAGACGGCAGTGTCAGCCTAATCATGGTTCTTCGTGTCGAGCGCTACGACATTAAGTCTGAGTCCTACAAATTTTTAGTGAGCATGTTCACTATAAAGGTTACAGCTTTACTGTTAGAATTTTCTAATTGATTGCAATTATTTAATCAAAAATCTTTCAGGATAAAATTTCAAATATGCTTGTCTGTGCCAAATCATTCCAAAATTTGTGGTAAAATAATAAGTAGTAAAATAAAATAAAAAAAAAATAAAAAATTGAACTATACAAATTTTGATTAGAAGAAAAAAAAAAAAAAAAGTAAGCCTATAGCTTCAAATTACAGTATCCAAAAAAGAGAGGCGAATTTGTCAAAAAAAATAGTAAAACTCGATAAACGAAAGCACACAGCCCCCAAAATCAATAAGCAGAAAAAATTGCTAAACCACATATATATAAAACATAACCCATCAGAGAACAATGGAATAAATTAGGGTTCGGGATATTCCATCTTCAACCAAATCATTCAATTAGATGAATTAATAACATCCTGCAACTAAAAATTAGAAGGAAAAAAAATTGATACAGTGAGTACGCCGGTAAATCTCACCGTCACCCATCGCCGGAGTTGGAAGATTCCGAATCTGATTTGAGGAGAGTAGCAAGAGGAAAAACAAGGGTTGCAGAGTTGCAGGTACGGAGGAGAAGTAGAAAAGGAATAGGCTTTGGAATTATGAGCATGCCGTGTATATATATATATATCCTAATTTTCTTTTATGCATTTTCTTTACCTTTTTGTTTTGGCCCAAATAATTATATATTATAGGGATCTCCTAATTTTCTTTTATGCATTTTCTTTACCTTTTTGTTTTGGCCCAAATAATTATGAAACGCTGCCGTTCCCAACATTCCCACCAATCAGCTGTTCTTATTATTTTCTTTTCTCTTTATTTTTGTGCTTGATTTTCACTTTTCTTTTATTCCACTTCCTGTAAAACGACGTCGTTTTGATCTCCATCGCCTCCTATTGCTGACCGACCCTCTTTTCCATCTCCAATGTCGGCCACCGCCTCACGCTCCATCCACGTCGACGCCCACCGCCCTTGCCGCCAACGTCACTTCCCACCGTATTTTCCTCCAATTGCAGGCGTTCTCCACTTTTGATCGCATCCGGAATCATCCGTACCCACCATGACTCATATCCTTCGTTAACTATTCTCTTCAACTTTTTTTGGTTTATGCATAATTAGTATGAATAATTTTATTTTTCAGATCTTTAACTTTTAATTCAAAATCCATGTTTTGATTTTCCCTTTTCTTTGTGAAATTAATTTCTTCTCGTAGAACCCAATTGAATTTCGTGCGTGTGTGTGTGTTTTCTTGCTCTGTTGTGTGCATATGTATTCTATGTATTTCTTAACCAGAATTAACGTGGAAGGCAGATAAAGGGCTATTGCTCGCACCACCGGCAAAGGGAAGTGTCAAGATGATGGCTTCACCCCTGAACTGCGCCCTGAACAGCGCCGTGAAAGGTAACGGCCGTTTTCTTTTCAATTTTGAATTTTTCTTCTAATATTTTTTCTCTGCTTCAATATTTTTCAGCATCCAGTTTCTACTGATATTGTTTGTTGTCCCAGTGATAATTCACGTCGAATGTCCGTGCAGAAAGATAAGGTGAGTTTACTATCATTCGGTGAATTTTTTCCGTTTTGCTTTTCAATTTCCCCTCTGCCTAAGATCTCAATCCTCTTGTAGTTATTTTTCTCTCTCCCTTCAGTTCCGTGTGAGATTCGCAAAAGTTTCGAGGGCTTTCGAACAAATTTGTTGTGTTTATCTGTTTTTTCTTCTCATACTTTTCGATTTTCTCTGCGTAGATTGCTGCTTTACGGAAGTGGATGAATCACTGCTCGATTTGCAAAATCCTTCCCTCTCTTCTCCTGTCTTCATCCAAAACCAATACAGGTGCTGTAGATTGAACAACTTTTATTACATAAATCTGTTTTTTAAGGAGAATTTTTTTACTCTTGTTGCCAAAAGCGGTCGACAAAGCCGGGTCCCCCTACAACGATCTTGAGGACACCCTGGCTCGGGCCCACGCATGGATCAACGCCTCTCAGGCGTCCGGTGTTCCTATCGTCTTCATGAACATTCAAACCGAATCCCTACTCACCAAGGTGTATATTATTATATATATAATTCGAATATGTTTTCATCATAACTATATATCATTCGATTATTATTATTAATTTTTAATTTTTTTTTGTACATATCGGGAGATACAGCTTCTTCTACGGTGAGTGCTGGATCGCTTGCTGACCTGTCGAACCTTGCAAACACGAGCATCTACGGTTTTGAGGATTACCACGGCGTGGACATTGGCGTTGTGAGAGGCGTTCGTCTATGGTTCTCCGCTCTCGCGGGGGAGATACCTGTTGAGATCAAAATCAAGGACACCGACACCAAGCTCGGATTCACCATCAGCAGAACTGAAGAGGTACCTTTATTGGAACGGAAACTTTCCGATCCGAATATTTATGATTTTCGAAAAATAGTTTCCTTCCGTTGCAAATTCCAGAAGTTCCGATTCCGATTTTTGTGATTTTTTTTGAATGGAATTGGAATACATTTATAGATTCTGAATTTCGATCCGATTTTAATCTGCGAAAGTATTCTCATTTTCTTTCCCAAATATTATACATTGTGTTTTTTTATTATTAAAGGTGACTAAAATAGAGATTTCTTTCATCCTGATTTCCAAAATTCCGATTTTTTGGAATGCAGGGGTTCATATACATATCGTCTGTGGTCGAAGCAGATAACCCTTCGGAGCGGTCGGGATTGAGCAGTCTCTACAAACAAGCATCGCTAGCATCGAGATTGCTCGTGGTTTCAAGAATATCGAACCGAAAGGTGCTCCCGTGGATGGTTTCTCCCGCAGGCGCAATCCGGTGCTTCGACACCGTTTCTCTCGGCCAAAAACTTTCGCTCCACCGCCACGCCAGGGTGGCAATCATAGTGCACGTCTTCTTGCGGGACCGGAGGGTGAACTACGCTAACGTGGGCAGCATCCGGGCCCGGGCCATGTCCACGTCAACGTCAAGCTCGCCTAATTTGGGGCGGCCCGTTAATCAGAGTCAGGTGGTGCCACTGGAAGTTGACGACCAAGAGGATTTGGAAGATGACTACGAGATCGAAGTTAGCGATGAGCCGGATATTACGCTTGAACGGAATAATGTAGGCGAGTTTTCGTTCCGTTTGCGCGATTTCGGTCTTACGGATAATTGTGTGTGAAAATGTGACTTATTATTATTACTCTTTTTGTGTTAATTGTTGGTTTTTGTTTTGGGAAAACTTAACTGAGCAACTCACATTTCTTGTTACGTAGTTCTTGTTATTGTAATTGGTATACTTCATTATTTTATGCACGATCTGTCCTACCTAATTTTTTTTCCTATCTGAAATTATTATTATTTTTTGTTACTATTTTTGAACCAATTTCTTGTAGACCGTAATGGAAGAAGTCTTCCAGCTTGAGGGTCTTCCTGACTTCATTCCGTAAAAGGTACAGTCAGCATGGTTTTTCTACTTCCACTTTCTATTTTTTTTTTCATTTTTCATATTTCACTGAAAACTCTCTTTATTTGAAAACTCTCTCGCATCATCTTTGATAAAATTGCAGATTTGCGCTTCATTTTGCTGCCAAATTTTGATGGGCAGATGGCGATCTTCTTGAACATACATTAAAAAAATGTGATTTCTTGGAATCAGTTGGAAGCGCAGGTGCACTACTTCTGAATAGTTGTATGGATTGGCTTTCATATATACCTTTCTTTCATTTGCATCTCAAAATCTTGCTCGGAAATTTATTTCATCCTGACATTTTCCAAATGGATAATTATAATAAATATATTTATTCATCTATGTTGGCCCATGGTGATCATGAAGGCATCAATTTGAGTTCAAATGGATCTTCCAAAACCTCCATCTTTAATTTCATTATCTGGTATGATTACTTTTTATGTTTACTAAAGTTGGATCCGAACGTGAAAAGGTGAAACACATTATTATTTTTACTTTTTATGCGCCTCGGTTTTACTTGTCTGAACAATGCTATGTGGAATTAATGGAGGAGTTTGAACAGTAGATAAACTAATAAAGATGCAATAGATTGAGGTGGTGTGAATAAAAAGCTAAGTGCCTCGAGCAAATTATTCGTCCAATAAGAGAAGATTTAACTGTTTATTGATCTCGTTACAGTTTTGGTTTTGGCCAATAGAATATTCTGCTCATTTGTTATGTGTTGACTTTGGGAAGAAGATTATTTTTTAGGCTGCAACTTCGCTGATATGCGTTGTCTATTATTTATAGGTATTGATATCCTTATCCTCGATGAAACATAGTGCTGAAGAAAAAAAAAAAAATTTAATTGCTCTCTGTTTTTTATAGTATATATTTGCAATGAAATCTCAATATTCACATATTATGATTTATTTAATATATAATGTATATATATTCGTGATCTGGTATATCAACTCTGTTTATTGTCAATATTGATTGCTTGTTATGGAGATGAGCTTGTTAAAGCCTATGAGATTTATAATTCACATTATACTCTTCTATTGCTAATAGACAAATGGGATTAAGTAAAAATCTTGTGTGTGTGTTTATGTATACATATATAATTATAACAAATACGTAGTTCAAGTTCCATTGCAACACCGAACATATTTTGTGGCCAAATCGGACATTTGTTTTTAAATAAAATGCTAAATTAATTTAGAATTTTTTAATCATGACAATAAACATGTAGTCAGTAATCTTCATGTGGTATGGCTGTAATTGTTTTTATTCCTGTAGTTGCCATGTATTTGTAGAAGTTTATATGTATATTTATTTTTTGTGAAAAATTAGCGTGAAAGCTACATTATGGGATTGATGCTCTGCATAATGTTCAATGCACCGCCGTTTATGTTCGATAGGAGAGAAGGCAACTCAACTATTTCCGATGCACTGTTATTCAATAGGAGAGACAGAGGGAGAGTCAAATTACATTTACAGTGCACGGCTCCTGCATCAAAAGAGAGTATATTTTCCTAAACCTAAAACTGCTTGTTTGCATAATGTGTATGAATTTCTTTCTTTTGCTCAATTTTCTGACTTTTGGTGAACGCTACTGGAGTAAAGGAATGCGATATGAAATAAATGATGGCCGCAGTGTGTGGCCTCGAAACTGGCTCGACCAGAAGAAAGCCGACTGAGAATCATTTCTAGGTAACTTTCGTGATTCTCGTATTTTGTTCGATGTTAAGAACATTGAAAGTAAATTATGCCATTTTACATGTCTATGGCTCTGATAGGAAAAAATTAACTTCATGGGCAGGCCCCCCTTGCCGACGCCAATTCTTCGCATTGTGGGGATGCATATGGCTTTTAGTTTCAATTTGTGAGAGCCTATTCGTTCAAAATAATAATGAATGCGTGTTTATTCGCTATTTGTGCATTACCAATTATTTATGGGAGTTCGATTGATGTTACAATTAATTGTCTAGAGATTAGAAATGACTGAAAGTTAGGTGCTCAACTTTCTGTTCTAGCCGGTTTTTAGCTCTCACGTATTTTTTTCGAATGTGGCATTGAGGGTGAATGGTCATACTTATTTTATAATATGGCAGATACATTGCTACAGGCGTAGGAAAACAAAATTATAATCAGTGATGACCTTTATCTTTTTGTACGCTAATATGCTTTGGATTTTCTTTACTTGTCAGAAATTGGATATTTTTTTTTGTTTGTTCTGATGGTATTTATTTGCAAAGGGTTACTGATGCTTGCTGCGTTGAGTGGTGCGTGGCCTTTTAAGAATAAACAAGGTGTCATGAATTGAAGATGGCAAATCAACCCACCATTTCTTAGGAACTTCAACTTTCAATGAAAACACCGTTGTCCACGTTGGCTGTCTTGCCAAGATCAATCCAACGCCCCACTCGACTTAATTTACGGATTGGGTGTTGTACGGCTTGCTGTGGGTATATATAATCATATTTCATTAAGTTTTGCCTTACAATTAATTAAGAACATATATATATTGTTTTGATTCTTAATTGTCTTTTTCTTTTCTCAGGCTGTGGAAGGGACTCGAATTTGTGGGGCGTCAAGAATTATAGGCGTTTAATTAAATCCAAGTCGTTTTGATGAAGGTTTACTTAATTGCTCAATAAATCTTGAACATGCCATAAGTATTATGCATATATAGTACTAATGACAAGTTCAAACGTTTATTGAAAATTAATTAAGGGGTCAAATACAAAAACACCCCTATACTATATACCGCTACATACTACACATAAATACAAAAGCCTACAAAAACCTCCCAATTGTTAATTTTTGCCAAAATATGACAATAATACCCTTGTTAAAGCATATATATATATACTAGGTTAGAGCACCACGCAATGCACGGTGCCGGTGACCTGTTTACATATTTTTGTAAAATGTATTTTTTTACGCAAGCGTGAGTAATGAAGGGGATAACGAGATGCTACATCGAAGTTTCCCATTTCCTGATCAATATTAGAAGACTGAATATAAGGATCATATTAAAACAAAGCATTGTATATTGTGAGACGGGCTATGAAATAAGAGATACGATTGATATGTAAAAAGGTAAAAGACCAAAAATTATATTTATTAATGATATAGAGCTGATGTTATACAAGTTAGTATTCTATGATATGTAAAGGATAGAATGTCCGTACATGATCATTGCAGGACTCATTGTTGCAATGGATGATATGGTTTATCCCAAGTTTATTATAAATAATTTAATAAATTAAAGTTTTCCTAAATCGTAAATCGTAAAATTTGATCGATTTGTTGATATTTAAGATTTATTTGATCATTTGAATCGACATAGGTATGAATAAATTGAATCGCAAATCATAAGATTTTTAGCTCGTTGTTGCGGATTTTCGTAAATGAGTCGCACGCGATTACAACCGATGAGGAGTCGAAGCATGTTGCGTTGGTGGCGGATATTTCGGATATTGCAAGAGAGATCCACTTTGGGGTTAAATTTGCAATTTCGGTGGAGCTGGTGTGAAGATGGAGTAAGTATAGGGGCGATTTTGCAATTTTCAGAACTGTTTCAGTCAAGGAGGTGGATTTCGAGAAATTAAAAATTAACCCTCACTTGGGGGGAATTACCGGTTTAGGGACAAAAATTAATATGTTATATAATACATGGGCCAAAACTGTAAATATCCGAAGTTTATTATAACTAATATAGTAATTTAAAGTTTTCTTAAATCGTAAATCGTAAAATTTGATAGATTTGTGGTATTGAAGATTTATTTTAACATTTGAATCGACCTAGGTATGAATGAAATTAATCGTACAATTTGAATCTTGAATCATAAGATTTTAGGCTCGGTATTGCATTTTTTTGTAAATGAGTCACACATGGTTATGGCCAAGGAGTCGAAGCATGCCGCGTTGGTGGCTGATATTTCGGATATTGCAAGAGAGATCCACTTTGGGGTCAAATTTGCAATTTGGGCAGAGCGGCCGGGAAGATGGAGTAAGTATAGGGGTGATTCTGCAGTTTTCAAAACTTTTTCTTGCAGATAGGTGGATTTCTAGAAATTACAAATTGACACCGGCATGGGGCGCATTTCTGGTTTAAGAACAAAAATACAAAATGGTATATAATATAGGGACCAAAACTATAATTATCGCAAGTTTATGATAAATAATATAATAAATAAAATGTTTCTTAAAATCGTAAATCGTACAAATTGATCGATTTGCTGGTATTTAAGATTTATTTTAACATTTGAATCACCTTATGTAAGAATGAATTGAATCGTGAATCATAAGATTTTAAGCTCAGGATTGCGAAAATTCCTGAAGGAGTAACACGCGATTACAGCCGAGGAGGAGTCGAAGCATGTTGCGTTGGTGGCGGATATTTTGGGTATTGCAAGAGAGATCCACTTTGGGTCAAGTTTGCTATTTGTGTGGAGCGGATGGGAAGATGGAGTTAGTATAGGGGTGATTCTGCAATTTTTAGAAATATTTCAGCCAAGGAGGTGGATTTTCGTAAATTACAAATTTACCCCCATTTGTGGGGAATTGCCGGTTTAAGAACCGAAATTAAAAATTGTATATAGTATAGGGACAAAAACTATAATTATCCCAACTTTATTAAAAATAATATAATAAATTACAGTTTTCTTAAATCGTAGATCGTAAAATTTGATTGATTTGTTGATATTTAAGATTGATTTTAACTTTTGTATCGACTTAGGTATAAATGAATTGAATCGTAAGATTTGTATCGTAAATCATAAGATTTTAAGCTCGGTATTTCGCAAACGGATCACACGTGATTACAACTGAGGAGGATTCGAAGCATGCTGCGTTGCTGACGGATATTTCGAATAATTCCAGAGAGATCCACATTGGGACAAAATTTGCAATTTGAGTGGAGCAGAAGATGGAGTAAGTATAGGGGTGATTCTGTAATTTTCAGAACTGTTTCAGCAAGAGAGGTGGATTTCCATAAATTACTGATTGACTCCCACTTGGGGGGCATTTATATACTTACTCCATCTTCCCAGCCGCACTACCCAAATTGCAAATTTGACTCCAAATTGGATCTCTCTTGCAATATCCGCCACCAACGCAGTATGCTTCGACTCGTCCTCAGTTATAATCGTGTGTGACTCATTTACAAAAATTCGCAATACCGATTTTAAAATCTTATGATTTACGATTCAAATCTTACGATTCAGTCTGTTCATACTTAAGTCGATTCAAAAGTTAAAATAAATTTTAAATATCAACAAAACGATCAGATTTTACGAATTACAATTTAAGAAAATTTTAATTTATTATATTATTTATAATGAACTTGCGATAATTACATATTTGATCTCTATAGTATATACCATTTATAATTTTGGTCCTTAAACCGGAAATGCCCCCCAAGTGGAGGTTAATTTGTAATTTCTGAAAATCCACCTCCCTGGCTGAAATAGTTGTGAAGATTGCAGAATCAACCCTATACTTACTCCATCTTCCTAACCGCTACACCCAAATTGCATATTTGACTCCAAAGAGTGGATCCCTCTTTCACTATCCAAAATATCCGTCACATCTACTAAAATTCGCAATAACGAGCAAACAATCTTATGATTTACGATTCAAATCTTAAGATTCAATTCACTCATATCTATGTCGATTCAAATGTTCAAATAAATCTTAACTATCAACAAATTTATCAAATTTTACGATTTTTGGTCCCCTATATTACATACATTTTTTTAAAAATTTTTGTCCTTAAACAAGAAATGCACCCCAAGTGGGGGTCAATTTGTAATTTCTGGAAATCCACTTCCTTGACTGAAACAATTTTGGAAATTGCAGAATCACCGCTATACTTATTCCATTATCCCAGTCGTTTCACCCAAATAGCAAATTTAACACCAAAGTGGATCTCTCTTGCAATATCCGAAATATCTGCCACCAACACAGTATGCTTCGACTCCTCCACTATAATCGCAGGTGACTCATTTACGAAAACTCGCAATACCGAGTATAAAATCTTATGATTTACGATTCAAATCTTACGATTCAATTATTCATACTTAAGTCGATTCAAATGTTAAAATAAATCTTAAATATCGACAAAACGATCAAATTTTACGATTTCCGATTTAAGAAAACAATAATTTATTATATTATTTATAATTAATGTGTTATAATTACTATTTTGGTCCCTATATTATATCCCAGTTTTAGTTTTGGTCCTAAAACCGAAAATGCCCCCAAGTGGAGGTTAATTGGTAATTTTCGAAAATCCACCTCCCTAGCTGAAGCAGTTCTGAAAATTGCATAATCACTTCTATACTTACTCAATCTTCCTAACCGCTCCACCCAAATTGGAAATTTGATCCCAAAGTGGATCTCTCTTTCAATATCCAAAATATCCGCCACATTTATGAAAATTCGCAATAGCGAGCGTAAAATCGTATGATTTACGATTCAAATCTTACGATTAAATTCATTCATATCTATGATGATTCAAATGTTAAAATAAATCTTTAATATCAACAAATCGATCAAATTTTACGATTTTTGGTCCCTATATTATTATACCTATTTTTAATTTTGGTCCTTAAACCAGAAATGCACCCCAAGTGGGGGTCAATTTATAATTTTTGGAAATCCACCTCCCTGGCCGAAACATTTTTTAAAATTACAGAATCACCCCTATACTTACTCCGTCTTCCCAGCCTATCCACCCAAATTGCATATTTAACCCCAAAGTGGATCTCTCTTGCAATATCTTAAATATCCGCCACCAACGCAGTATGTTTCAAGTCCTCCTTAGCTATAATCGCGTGTGACTCATTTACGAAAATTCGCATTACCGAGTTTAGAATCTTATGATTTACGATTCAAATCTTACGATTCAATTTATTCATACCTAAGTCGATTCAAATATTAAAATAAATCTTAAATATCGACAAAACGATCAAATTGTACAATTTACAATTGAAGAAAACTTTAATTTATTATATTATATATAATAAACATGTTATAATTACAGATTTGGTCCATATATTATATACCATTTTTAATATCGGCCTTTCAACCGAAAATGCCCCCAAGTGGAGGTCAATTTGTAATTTCCGAAGAATCCTCCTCCCTCGCTGAATTGCAAATTTGACCCCAAAGAGTGGATCTCTCTGTCAATATCCAAAATATCCGCCACTTTACGAAAATTCGCAATAACGAGCATACAATCTTATGATTTACGATTCAATTCATTCTTATCTATGCCGATCCAAATGTTAAAATAAATCTTAAATATCAACTAATCGATCAAATTTTACGATTTTTGGTCCCTATATATTACATACATTTTTTTTTTTTAATTTGGTCCTTAAACAAGAAATTCACCCCAAGTTGGGGTCAATTTGTAATTTCTGGAAATCCACCTCCCTGGCCGAAACAGTTTTGAAAATTGCAGAATCACCCATATACTTACTCCATATTCCCAGCCGCTCCGCCCAAATTGCAGATTTAACCCCAAAGTGGATCTCTCTTGCAATATCCGAAAGATTTTAAACTCGGTATTGCGAATTTACGAAAATTCACAATACCGAGTTTAAAATCTTTTGATTTACGATTCAAATCTTACGATTCAATTATTCATACCTAAGTCGATTCAAATGTTAAAATAAATCTTAAATATCGACAAAACGATCAAATTTTACGATTTACGATTTAAGAAAACAATAATTTATTATATTATTTATAATAAACGTGTTATAATTACTATTTTGGCCCCTATATTATATACCATTTTAAAGTGTTTAAACCAGGAAATGCCCCCAAGTGGAAATCAAGTTGTAATTTCCGAAAATCCATATCTCTGGCTGAAACAGTTGGGAAGATTGAAGAATCACCCCTATACTTACTCCATATTCCTAGCCGCTCCACCCTAATTACAAATTTGATTTCAATATCCAAAATATTCGCCACATTTATTATCACAAGTTT